ATAATAAATTTTACATATTTATTGATCTTCCCTATCTTTCACCCCCTGTTTCGATCTCCTTTTGTGCAGCATCATTCGTCTTGTATAAAATGCAGAAACAATGCTGATCTCTTGGTTTCATAAAGAAATGACTTATTGCCAATCATGGAAATGGAAACAAAATTTCAGGAAGGATCTTCAATCATCTTTTTTTCTTCCCCCTATGAACTAGAATCACAGCAAATGATAATATTAACAAGAAGGAGCAGGGGAACCACTCAGGTCCCTCTCCCATCTCAGGCACTGTAATGGATAAAAATGTACCTTGTGTTAAGTCTGCACAAAACTGTAAGGATGAAAGAAGTCAGGTCACAAGACATGAGAGCAGTGGAGATCCAGCAAGGACAGAAAGTATGTTGCTTCAATCTCTCTGAGTCAGTCTCATTAAGTAAATTCCACCTTGACATGGTCTCCTCTGTGTCTGAGACTGGATATGATCCTAGGCTTCTGTGGGATCTTTAGTTACTGAAATGTTCAGCAATAACCTATGGATTTAAAAAAAATGAGTGTATAAGTGGTTGAGTCTTTGTGTGTGAAGTCCATCTAGCTATTTCCCACATTTTAGTATTTGGATTGCTTTCATATGGTTAATGACACATTTTGACCACATGTCAGAGTTGCAGGGGAAGTTCTCCTTTCTGAGTCCAGGCTCTGTGATGAGATCCACACTTTTGCAGAGTCCAATACTGGACTCAAAGGAGTGATAGGAAGAGGAAGAAAGAGAGACAGAGAGAGGGAAGGATAAAACCAACAAGGACAGAGAATAGGTTGCTTGATTTTTAGAACCAAAACAAAATGTAATGAAGTATTTCTAGTGATATTTGATATACACTGATGTGTTCACTAAATAGAATATTTGTGTGTACAAATGTGTGTGTGCATGTCTCTATGTGCATTTATGTGTGTTCATATGGATGCATGCTTGTATTTGTGTATGTGTCTGTGCGTCCATGTCCCCTTGCCCCCAGCTGACACTAACTTGTCCACTGTGGAGTATTTATGGGTGCCTCTTGCCCAGGTGGCTATTACTTGGCTACTAGTAAGTCCTCAGCTTTACCTTCCCTGGTGTCACCCTTGGCTGAGGGATGATGCCTCACCTGGAGAAGCTCGATGCCCACCCCCACAATCTTCCTATTACAAAAACTCACCCTGGTGCAGAAGGGCCTAGTGTGCTGCAGCAGGTAGAACATCTCTCCAAGGCCAGTTGAGCTCCAGAGTTCTCAAGGACTCTAGTTTTCTATATGGAGTAACAGCCACCCCCAACTAAAATGGCTTAACACAAGAAATACTTTATTGCATACCATGATCTTGCTGGTATCTGGCAGGGCTCAGTTAGGCAATTCCTCTGTTCCATGTGGTATTTATTGACTGTGATTTCAGGGTTTGGCTGGCAGCTGGACAGGCCTAGAGTGTCCCAGACAGTTTCCATCATATGCCTGGAAACTTAGTGGGAACAGTCAGAACGGAGACCCCAGCAAGGCCCCTCTCCCTCTTCTCAAGGTCTGCCCTACCCTGATCCTTTCACTCCTTACTGGTTTTCTCCTGAAAGCCTTCCTTCAATAAATTACTTCTTAAGAACACCATCTCAGATCCTGTTTCTAGGCACTAAAATCATCAATCTAACATCTGTCTGTCATCCTTCTTGCTATCAGAACCACACTTTTATTGTGACTTATTGATGTAACCTCAAGCAACAGGTCATCTTGTTTCTGACTTTTCCAGTTTCTCTTGTAAGGAGGTGTGGGTCATATGACCTGGTTCTGGCTAATAAAAAGTAAAGGAATTCTGCTGTGGGACTTCTCCCAAAGTGTTGCCTTCTCAATAAAATGGAGCAGATCCAGCTGACATTTCCTTTTCCTTGCTTCTTTATTTCACCCTGAATATGGTTGTAAGAGTTGGAGCTACAGGAGCCATTTTGCAAATGTGAAGGTGGACTCAAGGGAATTCAAGAACTTTTAGCTTTGACTTTACTAAAATACTGAACCAACAGCAAAAATCACCTACCTCCAACTTTTTATGTGAAGAGAGGAGAAATGAACTTTTTGTTTAGAGTTATATGATAGATAATCACATGAAACTTAAATTGATCATTAAAGGAGGATAAACCACCCAAATTAAAAAAAAAAAAAGGAAGAATAAGGGAGACTACTTTTCTACAGTTCAAATTGTTACCTACAGAAGAGAGGTAGCTTTGCAAGATGACATTAATGAAGCAATTTGAAATATTGGCCTCATTTTGGGGACATTTTTCTCTTGAATCTCTATTTAAAGTTGGCATAATGCAATAGAGAAATCAGTCTGCTCCACTTTCCTTTGTCATTTGAGAACTTTTTTTCCCCTCTATTGAAAAATCACTGATTGTCATTTCCACAGACGTGTTAGAACCTAGATGTCATTTTCAAAACATGGAAGAACAAAGTTTTGTTTCAAACTGATTCATCATTCTCCACTTAATTCTGCTCTTTACTCATCCTGTGCAAATGGATTTTAATAGGGTTCAAAGTCAGTATTAAAAATGATTCAAATTCAGTGCCACCATTGGTGCAGCTCTTTTCCAGCAAGCTGCTGAGGGTATATTTCCCTGTGACAGTAACTTGCTCAACCAGTGGAGAAATGAACTTGGGCTTACCTTTATGTCCTCCAGGGAGGTGAGGCCAAGGCCTGGCCACAACATCACTTCTAACTATATCCCTGTCATCTTATTTTCTCAGTCTTTCTCAGTCTCTCTCTCTCGCTCTCTTTTTTTTTCCCCCAGTGCTGAGATGGAGCCCAGGGCCTCACATGTGTTGGGAGCTATCCCTCCAACCACTTTTGTTTAATGCATCACTCAGCATTGTACAGATACCTTGGGATCACCAGGCACCACAGGACAACTGTCGACTTAGCTGGAGTTCCAGGCAGGAAAGCTCAGACACTGAGCTAATAGTCTGACAAAGGATAATTTATTCGGGGAAAGTGATGCTTAGGGAATAAGAGTAAAATGAAGGAGAAAACCACACAAGCAAAGAAAGAAAGAAAAAAAAATTTGAGCCAGTTACCACGGTGAACAACTGGGGCTCATTCTTGCTCAGCTTTCTCTGGGAATTTCTGAGAAATATCACTCAGAATTGTTCACAGGAAGGATGGAACAGGGGAGAACTCCTCAGAGCTGCTGTACTCCAAATCATTAAGGGTACCCCTGGGATACCACTTCCTGGCACTGTCAAGAAGCACATCTTTGAATGCCAGGTGAATTCTACAGGTGGCACTTGCCCTCATGCAAAGAACAGGACTTTTAGGGCTCCAGGAAAGGGGGCCCTAAAGGGGGGAGTGCATTTTTTTTTTTTTTTTTGCAGAGTTGATTGATGCAACAATGGCTGAGCAAGAGTGGGATGAGAGGATATGAGGCGAAATTCAGGAAATGCCCAATACAGTATCTAGGAGGAGAATTTTTAAAACATGTCCTAGAGGAAACATCCATACAAAGATCAGACAGCACAGAGAAGCTCATGCAAAATAAAAAATCTTGTAGCACAACTGCAGCATTAATGGAATAGCTAAAATAAAAATTGGGGAAACCATCCAAAGGGTAGGGAAAACAGGAAAAAGGATGTGAAAGAGGTTATAAATATTGGAGTTCTGAAATCAGAACCAAAATTATTTCCAAGAGAGCAAGGAAGGAAAAAAAATGCACTGCAAAGAAGTGGCTTTGGATATACCAGCAAAAATATTGGAGGATTGAAAATTCTGAAGAAAAATTATTTCCTACCAATAATTTTATTTTTTGCCAAAGAGGTGATAAATACAAGAATAAATACTTTGTAATAGCAAATCTCAAAAATTATCTGTCATATAATCTTTTGTAGAAGGCTGCTAAAGGACAGGCTCCTACAAAACAAAGGGCTAAACCAAGAAATTTGGAGATAAGAGATCCACTGAAAAGGGTACAACTTGAGAGAGAGGTGAAGGGGATCCCCAGAATTATAGAGTGATCCAAAGAGGAGGGCTCTGCTCCAATCCCAGAAGATGAGCAGTCCTGAGAGGGCAAGTTAGAAAGTCCCTGAATTTGATTAGACCACATTATATGCATGCATAGAATATCTCATTGAATTCCATTAAAATGTATAATCAATATGTATTAATAAAATTAAAAAGCAAAAGAAAACGTAATTGATGGAATACTTGTTACTTTTCAGAATTTATTCCAGGGGTGGCAATTTTATATTTTCTTAAGGATTCAGGTAGTTTTCACAGGCTATGTGGTTTCCATTTGAACCCACTCACATCTGTCCTTCTGGGAAAAAAAAAGCATCTGGAGACAATCCACAAACTGTCAATCTTCTAGTAAAACTGTTTACTGAAAGGGAACAGGTTTTACCTACAGGCCATTGTTTGCTGAGTCCTGTTTTGAACAACGGGAGGAGAGTCAGGATATGAATTATTGGGGATTTCATAGGAAACTGAGCACACAAAAAGCCAGCACAATTTTTAACTTCATGGAAAACAGATTTTTCAAAATTCACTGGAAAAATAAATTGCAAGATAATTGTGCATATCGCATGGCTCCCCGGTGAATGATCTTTATATAATCACATTTGTATAAACATTGAATACTCATCTATCCCAACTTTTAGTCTAACCATATGGGGGTATGAGAGATGGAAATTATGCATGTGGGGGGGTGAAAGTGGGTGAGAGAAGGAGCCCCATCCTGTCTGCTTTGGTGGGAAGCCAAAAGGTGATGTCTAGAGCAGAGAATCAAGAAGTAGTAATAAAACTACAAAATTAATTGTGGATCCTCACCAAAAAGAAATTCAGGGTGCGAATTGTCTCTGTGGACAGGAGTTTGAGGAAGTGTGTGATATCCTGGAGAGAGCTGTTCAAACTTTCCAAGTTCCCCCAGGGCTTCTTCAGGATCCTCCCCCAGAATATCCCTCCTGATGGTAGAACACACCTCCAACCTGCTATTATGTCATGTGTACCTCCCAAAAGGAGGGTAGCCACTGGGTACGACAAAACTGGACCAGGGTGACCACTTCCATGTCGGCGCCGTAGCCCACAGTACAGGTGGAGCTGGTGGTGAGAAGAAAAGACATCTATGCTCACCACTGAATGCCACATTCTAGTATGATCATTTCCAGGGTTATAAGAATTCTAGGACACTTGAAGATGTATTTGAGGGCATTTGAAGATGCATGAGGACAGAGTACATTTTATCTCAGTTTGTTTAATTGATTTATAACCTCTATCTCTTATGCCTTTCTCTCTGTCTAGTCTCATCCAAGGCTGTATTGATAAGTCCCTGTTGAGTCAGAGGCAACAACACAGACCCCTAGAGAAGGGAGAGGTGAGCCTGAGGAGCATGGGTGGGCAGAATCCTCCAGCAGAGGCCATGAAACAGACACGATTCAGCTGGAGTCAAGTACTAGATCAAAGCAGATACATTGAGGGGCACTGTGGGTGGAGTCTGTACGCTTATGAGAGCTGGGGCCAACTGAATCAGAGAAGGAGTCTGTGTAAAGTTGAAAGACTAGTCACATGCTTTGCGGGTCTCTGCCCCTCACTGGCAAAAGAAATCAGCTCTGCTTGGGCAGTTTTGTGGGTCAAGCCCTGCATCTATCTCTTCATTCTGTCCTAAAGGATTTTTGTCCTCACTGCACATATAAGAAAACTCTGGTTAGAGAATGAAAGAGCATGCTCAAAGATAAATAAGGAACTCTGACCCTACAGCTGTCCCCAGTGGCCTCCAGGGGGTCCACGAAACTCAGAGCCTCACCTAGTAGCACTGGACAGAGCCAATTTCTGCCTGGGCACTACAGGTCTGGCCGAGAGCTGCAGATCACACTGCGACATTGGATGAAGCCCTCGTACAGCCTGCAGCAGGTGGAACAGTGTTTCTCTTTGGTACTCCCTGCCTTTTATCTGGTTTTCACTTCCTCTTCTTTCAGAGAATCATGACTTGGGCAGTCTATGTAACATAAACATCTTTGCTCAGAACCTGAAAGAACTGATTTAAACATTTTGGGTCCTTTATTTCGGGAAATTGGGAACAAACAGATGCCTGGTATCACTGGGGAAATTAAACTATAAAAATATAAAGTATCTTACCCAGAATTAAACAGCCAGCCAGGGAGCAAACTAAGCTGGATTATGTAGAAGGTGGACAGCATGACTCTCCCTGTGTACCTGGCTGTCTGTGAGCTGTTCTGTGGAAGACCAGCAGCCCTCTGTCTCTGTCCTAAGGAACTAATGTGCACCCTTTTGGCCAGAGTGCATTAGCCCAGTTTCCTGGATAATTATTGGGGACAGAACAAATAGTCAGTGATGAGAGTCTTAATTATATATTTCACAGGGCTCAGAGAGGGGGCAGAGCTGGTACACAGTCCAGTTAAGTAGTCTATGAAGGCATCACTTTTCAAAACTATAAAGGAGGCCGTAGCACCTTGTTCTGAAGACATTGAGGGATTCATAGGCACTGCCAGTAATTTGCTTACTATCATTGGGGACATGTGCCAAGAATGGTTTCTTGCTGTTTTCTAAACCTCAAGGTGAAATAGCGAAGAGTTATAAAGAATCGGGCACTCCCAGGTGTGCTTTTCTCTGTAGACCTTAGAACCAGCCCAGAAGATCCCTGATCATTGAAGGGCAACATGCAGGGTCTGGCCCTGTCCAGAAAACTAGCCATGGGTCGGTCCCATGTGGCTATAAAGCCCTTGAAATACAGCCAGTACAACTGAGACAGGGCCTCACTAAGTTGCTGGGGCTGGCCTTGAACTTGTGATCCTTCTGCCTCAGCCTCCTGAGTCTCTGAGAATACAGACATATACTACCATGCCTGGATCCAGGGCTTGACTTCAATTTAATTTCGGCTATTTCACATTTAAATTTGAAAAACTTGTGTAGTGGCTACCAGTTTTGTGCTGTGCAGTTCTAGCATATCAATGAAGGGGCACCTGTAAGTTTTTGGTTTGATTCTTTCTAGGATGCTATCTTTGTGTTATGGGTCCCATTCTTAAAAACCCAGCATCATATTGGTTCCACAGGTGGCAGCAGAGCTAACCAGGCCCTAGCCATCTGCTCCCAGAACATGTGCACTGACAAAGGAGGGAGGGAATGTGCTGAGCCGCCGTGGGCGTACCCGCACATGTTATCCTTACTTGTGTCCTGATCAAAGGAGGGAAGGTGTGAAAAATTCATGAAAAGTATAAAGTGTTGGGGAGATATTAGTTACTATGATGAATAGAATTATCATGCTGACCTACTTTCCTGCTTTCCCCTGTTTGTATTTTATGTTATTTTCACATCCCTTTGGTGGGGCCTATCTCCAAGTTACAGAAGTAAAAACAGGCTGAGAAGTGAGGACATGGCTCAGGACCCACAGTGATTGGCACAGATCTTAGAAGAGCCAGATCTCCAACCCCAGCAGCCTACAACAGCTGGATGGGGGATATGGGTCCCAATATCTCCTTGTCCATCCTCCTGTTTTGTCAGCTCCATATTAGGACAGTTTGTGCCAGGGTTTCTGTTTTTTTTTTTTTCTTTTTAAATATTCTTTGAATGCTGGGTGGAGTGGAGCATGCCTGCAATCCCAGTGACTCAGGAGGATGAGGCAGGAGGATGGCAAGTTCGAGGCCAGCCTCAGTAACTTAGTGAGGTCCTAATCAACTTTGTGAGACTCCCTCTGAAAATAAAAAATAAAAAGAACTGGAAAGCATCGGGTGTGGTAGTTCATGCCTATAATCCCAGCAGGTTGGGGTGCCGAGGCAGGAGAATCCCAAGTTCAAAGCCAGCCTCAGCAATTTTGCAAGCTCTAAACAACTTAGTGAGACCCTGTCTCAAAATTAAAATTAAAAATAAAAATGATCTGGGGATGTAGCTCAGTGGTCCAGTACTCCTAGGTTCAATCCCTGGTACCTAAAAGAAGCAGAAGAAGAAGAAGAAGAAGAAAAATTGGGAATGTGGCTGAGTAGCAAAGAGCCCCTAGATTAAATCCCCAGTTAAAAAAAAATCCTTGAATGACTTTCTTCTTCTATTTTCCAAAGATCAAATATATTATATCTTTAATTTTATAAAGCAGGGGTATGAGTCTGGTGCTCTGTGATCCTCACATTCTAAATGCTTAAGAAATTATATGAGTTTAAAAGCTTGAATGAGGTTAAAAGCTGCTAGGCATACAACTTTTTAAAAATCTCTTTAAAGTGGAAGATTTCTGGGCTGTCATTTTTCAGTGTATTGGTTGGAACTCTTTACAAGTTACAATTTATTAAGTTCAAATATCAACTCAAAAGCTTAGCAGTCATTATCCTAATATTAGTGAGAAGAAAATTATGCACTTTGCATATTCAGGGCCATTCTGAATTCCTCCTGTTTATATGCCAAGAATGGGGACCTGGAATAGCCTGACACTGTGGCTTATTTTTATGTGAGTAAAATGGCCTTTTTGGTGGCTTTGGATCACATCTCTCCCTGAGCCATCATTTTCTTTATGTGGCTCCATGGGCTATGGACTACCAGGGTGAAAAGACTTCAGGCCCTCTGTGCATGTCCCAGCCAGCACCATCTCAGGGTTTCCACCCAGATGATACACCACCATCCCTTAGGGTTGCAATGTTGAAAAGGCAAACGTATTCATTCCTCTGGTTCAGTTTCTACCCCCAGAAGCCAATGGGTTGCTGCCTGAGGCTTCTGAACAGGGCTTCCTGTGATCTCAATACCTTACCAGGGCCAGATAAAGTTGGGGCTCTTATGCCTCAGGTTGAATTTCATTTCCTTTAATTTATAATCAGGAATGTCCTCAAGATTTGGCAGGTGTATACTAGAGGAAACAGTGCCCACTGAAAAGGGTTGTTTCTCCGGAAGAGTAAACAATACTGGTGCCTGGGCAGAAAAGGCTGTGAACTAGTCCAGGGGACAATGGGAGGAGAGAGATCCAGGACCTTCACTCTGCTCCAGTATCCAGCAAGGCTGCCTGAGACAGCCTTTCCTTGCACGGTAGTTCTCACACTGGGACCTGGAGTGCTGTCAGCACACTCAGTAAGTCAGGAGTGGGGCACAAGAATTTGCATCTCTGTCACTCTTTCTAGTGATGTTCATGCTGCCGACCTGCCACAGTTGGAGACCAGTTGCTCTTGGCCAGTGTGTTGCTCTTGGACAACACATGCATAAGTAGAACCCATGAAGGTTCCCATGTGCCTGCTTGAAGATCAACCCACCAGTACAGAGAGTGGGAAAAATGGAGTTCCAGTCCCCAAGCACCAAACCATTCCCCACAGCCTGTGTCCCTGCCTCTGCTGTGGCTTCATCACCATCTTCCTGTCAATTAGGAACACCAGCCTCCCCTCAGCCCTGCATTCAGGGAATCCAACATTTGCATCTGATGGCAAACATTCTTCCCAAAGTCAGCCCTTGTCACTGTTTCCATCTTACCCCAGGTCTCATTTCCATGCTTTTTTTTTTTTTTCTGGATTGGTCAGAACCTTCTATTTGCATCTCAGCCCATTTTCTATCGCTCCCTCCCATCCTGCCTGTCCAACATGATGGCTTTCAGAAAACCTAGATTCCCTGTCTGGTCTGCCCTTGACAATACCTCAGGTCCTGTGCATGTCCTATGATGGCAGTGGTTCTATGATAGAACAGCAAGCTACCCCTGCCTTGGTCATGGTCCTCCTTCACTATTCATCTGGCCTGCTATCCACACAGCATTCCTTTGGCTTGGGGGTATCCCCATTTCTCCCCACTTAGAAAATATGCCTTCATCCTGCAAAAGCTGCCTCAGATGTTGTGGGGTGATGGGAGGCTCAGTCAGTTGGCTATTTCAAGGAGGAGTGGGTTCCAGCCACACCATCATCATTTAGGACCATGTATGAAGCTGGCCCTCAAGTGTCTTGTCTAATTGCCCACAGTGAGGGCTTCCAAGTGTCTTGAGCTATATATGCAAAGAGAATGTCCATGTTGGGAGGGAAGAATGGGGTTGGGCACAGATCTACGTTACAGACCCAACCAGTTTTGCAGGGTTACTCTAGGGACACTGTGCCGGATATCACTGAGAGACCATTAGTCAACCAGCTCCCTGCACAAGCCAAGTATGCTCACTTCCAGGAGGACATATCCCGGCTCCCATACAACTCCCTGGTGCTAGACATGGAGATGGCCCACTCACAGGGGCCCTTGGAGGACCCTGAAGGCTGCTTCTGCCCAGTTCCTGTGGTTTGTCATCCTCTTTCCCCTTCTCCAAAGGCCAAAACTTAAAGCCTGGTTAAGTTGGGTTCAAAATCAAGGTTATTTTGAAGGTGAAAGAATTAAGTCCAGAGGAGTGGGGATGTGGTGGTCAGCAGTCACCACCTAAGAGCTTGGAGCCTCATGATGGAGAGAAATATAGGAAAAGTATAGATTCTACTGTGCCCCAGAAGTCACCCACTGCTAGAGTTATGGATTAAATCATGTTTCCACAAAGATATGTTGAAATTTTACATCTGGTACCTCTGAATGCAACCTTATTCTGGAATAGAGCATGTGTAAGTGTAATTAAGTCCAGATGAAGTCATTAGGGTAGGTTCTCATCGAATGACAGTAGAGCAATAGTTTGCCATAAGCTATTCCATTTTGAGTTTAAGTGCGGAGGTGGAAAGTCTCTATACCTTATGTATATGTTGTACATATATGTATATATGTTTTCTGAAACATCAGAGCTTATAACAGCACATCTTATAATATCCAAGTTAAGGAACCAGCCTAAGTTCCCATCAATAGAAAAATAGATTAAGAAAATTATTTTATATATATATATATATATATATATATATACACACACACACACACACACACACACACACACACACACACAATAGTTTTAC